ACATCTGGTGAAAATTTCATGTCATTAGCACCTCTAGTAATATATTTACTGAGAAAAATGGTGACGTGTTCAATACTTATTTTACCTGCTGTAGATCAATGGTTACAACATTTAATGAGTCATTGAGTGGCCTTGTTCTGGAAGTTCTAAAGTTTCACATGATGGGAGATAACCTGCTGCAGTTGTTGCTGAGTCCATATTTGGTTTGGATGATTGTCAGGACAGTTATTTACTAAACTTGTGTCATTGTGATTGGCAAGCTAGCAGACAGGCTAATAGCAGGATGTAAAACCAAAGCTGTGTTTTTATCTGGGAGTGGTGGAATAAATGATTGCATAAATAAAAGTTTGCAATCGCAGATAAAACAGGCTGATGGCGACTGATGATACGTGTTTATTCTTGTGGTAGGATGGTTCATTATTTGAACCCTTTTCCTGTTAACAGCATTATAAAAAAACAATAAAACATTTTAAATTAGAAGGTTGGCTTAAGGTCTCAAAAGGTTTTGTTTAACCCCATTTTAACCTATACAGGTATATGATTTTTTTGTACATTTATACAGTTTATGTCCCAAAGGTTTGCTTTTAATTCTTTTAAGATACTTTTTGTGAACCTGTTGAGCAGCTTGTACTTGATGTATTCTCTGTATTTACTATCTGTAGGAGGACGTAAATAAAAACAGGAATATCTAATTCGAAGTGAAAGGTTTGACCTGCAACAGAGACTCCATGGAGAGTAATGACTMGAAGTTACAATTATCTAACTTTATTCTGTTGTACAGAAATGCAAACAACCCTAATGAACTAGCACAGCAGCTATTTTGCGTTTGCAAAGCCTTTGCTGTTGACGGAACAAATATGCTTTTATGTAGTTACAACAATTTAAATTACATTCTCAGAAAATCGTTGATATGTGCTCTGAAAAGCGGGAAACATGGTGTAGCTAAAGGGGGGATTCAGGAAGGCTGAAGCTCTGATGTGTTGCTAATCTCTGGGATTTGTCGGCTGCAGGGTCGGTGGGCACAGACAACGCAACAGTTGGAATAACTCCAGTCTGGACCACCCATCAAAGACCCTCTTTCCTCTTCTTTGCTCACCAGTAATAGGCAACCTTCTCACTGAGCGTCCCTCCCCTCACATGTCTGTCCAGGACGTTGTAGCACACGTTGGTCCTGGCTCCTTCCATGCACTTGACGAACACGCTGCCCTTCGTCACGTCGAAGTTGTACTGGAGCATCGGCCCCGCTGCCGGCTTCTTCCAGAAGAACTCGTCGGCGACCTCCCTCCAGAAAGCTGAAACGAAGAGACGTTTGTCAGGTCAGGCAAGATGATGGAGGAGGAGCTGCTTGCAGAGGAACGGACCCACCTTCTGGGTTCTCCAGAGACTTCTTGTACTTCACCAGGTAGGAGTTGAAGTCGGGGACGTGAGCATCCCTCTGCAGGTCGAGAGGAGGCTGGTACATTTTGTCCCGGGATTCAGACACGACCATGGCGGGAGGACAGACAGGTCATCTGATGGGTCAGGCAGGGAGATGGGAGTAATCTGGTGTCACCGGTGCTCCGTCTGATCCTCCGGGAGGTGAGGGGAGAACAAGGCCTCCTGTGCTGGAGCAACACCATTCAACATGCAGAATAACCCGCCCCTAATCCCAGATCTGCAGACGGATCCTCGGTCTGCTTAGTGTCAAGGTGTCCAATCGGCTCCCGGGACCGAGCACTCCCACTTTTTTATTGGATGAGTCTCAGCTGGTCTGCTGATCACATTATGCTCCTGAGCCAGTGGGCGGACAGAGGGGAGGAGGAGGAGGAGGAAAGTGCAGCAGGATGAGTGTTTGTTTTCAAATGAAAGAGTGACAGAAGTTCAAAATAATAGAACAAAGTTTGGTCTTTATTGTATTTTTACTGAGACCATTACATTTATTAACAAGTGTATTCTCAGTTCAGAGGCTTGATTTTGCATAAAAATGTGACATTTACATTTAATAATAAAGAAAAAAATATATTTTCTTCTATTTATTGAATAAATTTTGGTTTGCAATTTCCCATTATGAAAAAAAAAATTGTGTTTTCTCCGGTTTGTTCAAACTGGAGAAAGTTTTTTCTGCAAAAATGCAATGTAAGTGATGAGAATAAATGCTGAAAGTAGCTGAAAAAATACAACGTTAAGTTAAAGTAAACAACGAAACACTAACTAGAAGCTAAAGGCTGGCTAAAAGGTCCCATCTACTGATTGAGCTGAATATTTTGATATTATAAGATGTAAACACACATGTCTCTCTATACTTGTGTGGACTTTACATTGATTTCCATTAATTTCTACAGCCTAACCCTGACCCACCAATGGTGTTTTTCCATTGTGTGGACCAGGCAAATGTCCACAGAGTGACAAAATGTCCTCATTAGCATGGTATAATGTCAGAATATGTCCACACAAACGAAAACTTTTCTGAGTTTTTATTTTTTTATATATTTTTTTATTTTTTTGTGTGTGCTTCAACATTTTCTCAGGTGGTGCCAGTGGGACCAGGGTGAGGCATTTGAAAATCCAGAGTCCATAAATCTGTAGTTTGTGGTTTCAGGTCACTTTTAACACTTCCAAACCTGGATAAACAGTGTTGGAACTAAAACATTAAATAAAACAAAATCAACCAAAGAAAGTTGATTTGTGGTTCAGAACATATATCAGGCTGTCAGGCTCTGCCAGGACTGGACCACAATGCAAACGACGTGATGACGTCGCATTGAGACTTTGAGGACAGCCAATAGCGACGGTCCTTACTGTGGCGTTGTAAACACACAGGTAGCTAGCTCGGCGCTCACGTCCTTCTGCTAACACACCGGGACCAGACTTCTGGCCTAAACATGTTTTTGTCCGCTGCTGTTCGCTCTGCTGTGTCGCACACGGTATGGTTGGGATATTTTGCATGTCTGTGGACTCTAATTTTAATGCTGTTTTCTACAAGTTGGAGAGAAATTTGTATGACTTCACAAGGACACGTAGCTGAGGCAGCTAAGTTAGGCTAGGCTAGGCTAACTGTCAAACGCTAACCAGATAAACATACCATTTAAAGGATGGATTTCAGTGTGTTTGTTTTTCTGTATAATTATTATTAATTCAATTTTCTGTGTTTCAACTGAACGTTTGAACCACGTTAAGTCAAATGATTTATTAGCAGAAATTGGCCGTTCGAAGGTTATTTTTATGTCATTAAACCTTTGTGAGATTAAAACTATGTAATAACAGGCATATTACAATGTCATTGATATGACATGAATACATACATACATACATACACACACACACACATATATAT